TGGGATTCCCTTCAGGGTAGCTCCCAGGGGTGGGACTTCGTGGAGGGGCAGGGCCTCATAGAGTGGGTGGTGCTTATCTGCAGATCTCTATTGACCAGATGGGGAAATCTCTTTTGGACTGGTTTTGGTCCAGGGGTTGAAGGCTCCCTCATCGCTGAGAGTCTGGTGTGATAGTAAGCCATGAGAAAGTCCCTTGCCTGACAAACTGGAGAGCCACTGATGGTGAAAGGCAGAAAAACAGCTCATACAAGGTGTTTTCTCAGAATTTTTTCCAATAAATCAGATCTGTGAATGTTTTGATCCTGCCATAGCACAGCTAGCAGATGTACAAACTATCTAGTAAAGTTTAAAAAAATAGTGAGGTAGTGACAAATTTTGGATGACACAGCCAAGACGAAACAGTACATTGACCAAGTTAAGAAAATGATGGGAGGAATGCAGGGCATGAGCTATGAATCCAGTTGCCCAGCATTTAGAAGGGGTGGTGGTGGTGGTGGTGGTGGTGAATGCAGACCCTCCACCCCCTTCCATGCCCTTTTCTTGCTGCCACCATTGCAGAAACTTCAAAGAGGTTGAGTTGCTGTTGGTGCCAACGCTGTCATCATAATCTCCTCTTTCGATCTCCTTGTTCTCATTTATACCAGTGAGAAACTGGAGAGAGCCAGATCTAAATAAAGGCTCTCCCAGATCGCTTATGAAACCTGGTGCTTGACTGTGTAATTGGTCAATTTACTCGTTCATTCTGGTGAATTCACCTCAAATCACTGGCACGTGCTCCTGCTTCAGGATCTGGGGTATATTGTCTCATTTGGGGTTTTAAAAAGCAGATTTCCCAGTTGCCACAATGCCCCACCAGGCACCTCATGCTGAAAAAGGGACTGCAACCAGACCAATACACTGCCTGCTTTATCTTTGCTGACACCTTGCATCCACAATGATTTCTACACTGCAGCCAGGAATTCTCATCTACTGAATGGGGAATTAGCTGGGAAAATGGAGCCACAGCCAAGAATCAGACTGGCTGAGAAATTTTGGGAATTGTGGCTTAAAGAACAAAATTTCCTAAGCTCTACTATACATTGATGATTCCTTTATTTATTCTAGCTGGCTTGTTAAATGTGTGCTGCCAAATGGATATGTCTTGAATTCTAGTCCTCCTCTGCCCCTAGTACATAATATAACACTTTACCCATGACTTCTGTACCCTTATGCTTTTCTCAGTCTTGAGTGCACCATCCTATCTCCACTACCCCATTTTCCCCCCAACCGCATATAGGCATCATTTTTCCGATTGCACATTCTCCACTCCCAAATGCAGATTTTGTTTCCAACTGTAGTTCTAAAAACATTGAATTTGTTGGGTAATCCACTTTATAGCAATGGACTCTCCACTTAGGATTGCCCCCACCCCCAGCGGCAAAGGCTTTACCAGTTCATAGAACTCAAGTTTCAGCTGGGTTTTTTAGCACTGAATCTATCAAATTTAATGAGATTGCAGTTTGTTTGTGAAAGTTCTTCAGTTGCTGACCTGAATCTAGTGACTGATTAATGATAACGGCTCTTTGATAAGTCTGGTTTGTTTCCTCTGCGCTTAAGTAACCAAACAAGATTCTTTGGAGCTCTGGGTGTTGCTGTGACTTTGCTTGCAGGCAAGTCAGCAATTTATATTTGCTTGAAAAAGTCTGGCATGAATCTAGTTCTATTATACCACAACTCCCATTATTCCCACTGAGAATGAAGGCATTAAAGCCAGGTAAAGGCTGGCTTTAAGATAAATACTCTTTTCTGCTGTGTAAAATGTAGTGCATTTAATTCAATAGTAGTGACATTGGAGCTGCATGAAATTTCCATTTTTTTAAAAAAAATCCCCTTTGCAAATTTTATACTGTCATAGCCACAGATACTTTTTGTGTGTGGATGCAGGGGAGGCTTAAAGATAAAGGTTCCCCTTGACACCTAGTCCAATCATGATCACTCAGGGGGTGTGTGCTCATCCCCGTTTCCAGCGCGCCTAGACAGGGAACGCTGTTACCTTCCCACCATGGTGGTACCTATTTATCTACTTGCATTTTACATGCTTTTGAATGGCTAGGTTGGCAGCAGCTGGGACAAGCGATGGGAGCTCACTCCGCCGCATGGATTCGATCTTACGACTGCTGGTCTTCTGGTGTTGCAGCACAGGCTTCTCTGGTTTAACCCGCAGCGCCACCACATCCCTTTTGGGGGAGGCTTAGGTCAATAAATAAATGTATGCCGCAAATTGGTTTACTGTACTTGTAAACCTTTGGTTTGTATGCCACATACAAACCAAACCATACAAACCAAACCAAACCAATGTATGCCACAAATTGGTTTATTTGCAAATCTTTTTTGCTTCCCACTCTGTCTGCTTCAGCCTCTGTCTTTAAACAACTGCTTCTGTAAATGGTACCACCTGAGTCTACGTGAGGCGTAGCCTAAAATGTTTTGCTGTCTGAGGCAGAACTGCAGAACCTGTGTCCTTGATGATATAAAGGCAGTCATGTTGTTTTGATACATGAAGGAGAAAATCCCATAACCGTCTCTTCCAATCCCTGGTAGTAAAAAAATACAATTACAATAAAAGCAAATAGCAGTGTATTCCTTTTTAAGAATACCCCATACCTACTCTTTAGAAGAGCACCTCACTATGCCTCCTGGTATCCTTATCCCTCCTGGTCAACTATACCAGATACCACCATGACAGATGCAGTGGTGTATCATCTGTTGCATTATGATGTCATGGAACTTCACTAACCCAAATAATACAAGCCAGTACAATCAGGTGCTATTACTCTTATCACTAAAACTGGCAAGGGCTTTAGGTCTGAGGGAAATCAACAGGATGGGGACTGGAATCATGGGGCCTACCATCAAGTCTGATTAAAGCCATACAAGTGTCTGAACTGGAATTTTTTTCCATTCATTCAACTTGTGACTTGGCTTTCTCCTAAGTAATATTTCCCATCTCTGGCTTTCTCCTACACTGGCTTTTAAAAATGGCAGCAAATTCAATGTGAAGTAAATGTTCTATAGAAAACAACTATGCATAAATTAATGTCAACAACTATTGAAGTTTTATCCTGATTAACACCAGAGAAGCTACAGGTAGTGTGGTAAGCTAAGAAGGATGATGACAGCTAGAAGTAAAGATATTTTGTGTGTTATTTTGGCAGAAAGGTAAGTGAGGGTATGGGGAGGGAAACATGGCATGTGAAGCAGATAAAGAGGTAATGGAGTGTTACATTTTATTTTGTGTCTAACTCCAAAATGGGGCAATTTATTCAAGGAACTGAAATACGATGTAAAAGCCAAGCAGAAAACCAGAGAGAAAAACTAAGCTACTGTTAAGTAAAATCACACATCTCAAGTTAGGGACTAATTTTCAAGTTATTTACACACATCCCTTCTTTGCAGCTGCGAGGACAAATAACATAACATTTTCTCATGGATTTGGGTTGGATTTGTTTTGTTGACCTGCATGTGTCAATCTGTAGTTTCTGAAGTGGCAGCCATATTGGTCTGTGCAAGTGTATCAGATAAGAAAGAAAACAAAACAAAATGTTGTGAGTTTTCATCGATCAAGTCCATGTTCTCAGCATATTTGGTTTGGATTAGAAGGTGCAGATTTCCATGTATGATCTTTTTTTTTACATATGGGCAGATCACAAATGGCCACATCCTATTGCTCCATTACCCCAGAATAATGACCCGAGACCAGAATTATGGAGTAAACACGGGCAACCCTTTATTGAAATAACGAATGTGGTGATTTGTGAATGGGTCCCCATTCTTGGCAGTACTGAGGTAGATGGAACAATGGTTTGACTTAGTCTAAGTCAGATCTGGTAGTGTTTTTTTTTTTTTTTGGTTTTTTTTAAATATAGTCTTCA